GCCTCCGTCAGGTATTTGTTGAATTCCTGGCTCCCCGGGGTGAAGGCATGTCCTGCCGCCCCCAGCCTCTTTACTGCTGTCTCCGTCTGTCTCGTGTTCTGCAGCACATGTATGACGCCTCCACCTCCACACATGGTGCTGCTCGGCCCGGTCGCAGCTAAATCACGTCTCGGCCTCCGGAGGCCTCTGGAGGCTGGTGGAGAGCAGCTGAGGCCTGGACGAGCCAAGAACAACCCGGTGGCTCCTCAAAGAGGCGTCTGTCCTGAACGGCCGACCTCTGGTGTTGATCCAGCCCAGCAGGCGGCTCATTAATGTCCTCGATAAGTCGTGTGGAGGCGTTTGAACGCGAGCTGCTGTTGACTTTGGGTCGGCTGGAGAACATCAGATGGAGCGGTGCGTCAGCGACGGACGGGTTCTCACCGCAGACAGTCAAAACTCAGCCTCAGGTTCAGACTTTCAGGTACGAAGCAGAAAACGAGATCTGTGGACGTCAAACTCAATCTGAGGAGACGTTTGATGGACGTGTTTCTGTTGGACGGAGAGTTCTGAGAGTCCAGAACACTGTAGAAACACAGACCCGGTTTAACTGGGTTTCTAGTTGTTCTGAACGATTTGCTGTTAGTTTACAGATTCTCCCTGTTTTGTTCAACTACAGATAACAGAAGGTAAAGTCACAGAGAAAAGTATTAATCAATAATAATAAGAAGTTCTAATAATGTCCACAGAAAAATGTGTTTTTACTAAAAGTAAATTATTCTTTTACATATTTAAACACATCATCAGACAGTTGTGCTACATTTAAATGAGTAAATATGTTGGTATTTCACAGATATTTGCCCTGAATGGATTTTTTTAAATATTCAGGATTGAAAAATTATTTTAATCTAATGATTTTATCTGTTAATTACAGAATATGTCCAATAAAATTATAGAAAAAAGTCATTATTTAAATGTCAAACATTAAAAAGAAAACTGTAAAACTGTTCACGTAAGAAATCTGTATTTTTAATAATAATCTTTTTTTCTTTACAATGTCTGAGCGTAAAGTTAAACTATTTTTTATTGTATTTTAATAAGCAAACATATGATTTTAGATGTTTGCTGCTCTGGGACAGAAACATTTACCAAGTGTTGAAATATCAGGTTTTCATCCCTTTTTAAATAAATAAACACAGAAAATCTGTATTTTAGTAAATAGTGTTTATTAACAACGTGTGACAGTAAAACCCACCGTTCAGTCTGAACTGTGATTATTTGTTTTATGTCTTATTGTTGTTCTGACTGGATGGTTTCCGGTGGATGCTGCGCCTCTATCTGACTTCCGGTTTAAACAGATATAAAGATGAACCTCTGATCATCTGGGACTCTTTAAATGAAGCTCAGTCATCATTCATGTGTTTGATTTGAGTGTTTTTGGACAATAAAAGCATCATTTTGTTCTGAAAGCTCCAGAACAAAGCGCCAGTCCAACTTCTTCTCTCCATGTTCTGCTTCTTCCACCAGAACTCTGACTGAACAAACCTGTTTTCTTTCTTTAGAACCATAAAACATCAGAACTGTGCTGCTTTCAGAGCCTCCTGCAGCAGCCCTACCTGCGGACCAGAAAGCTGCATCTGATTATTTGCCAGATCCTGATGTTCTGGTTCCATTTATGGTCAGATTCTGGAGGTTCTGTGCAGCGGGTTCGTGCTGTGATTTACGGCCGCGTGGCTCAGAGGCACCGAAACCATCAGAGAGTCATGAAACCGCCACCGAGCTCACAGTAAAATCCCCTAAACGTGCCAATAAAACACAAGAATTCAACAATATTAACTTAATCTGAGTTTAAAGCCTCACAGCGGCTCCAGCTGCAGCTCAGACACAAAACTCTCCAAAGTGACCGCAGAATGCTGAGGAACGGACTCTGTGATTAGGAGGCTCTCTGCTGTAAATCTGCTGCTTCTGATGAATGTAAATATCAGCCTGAAGTCACTGTCGGGCTCTCTGGACTCGGTACCGCTTAATATTCAGTATGCAGGACGGTCCGCTCGCCCACAGTCCCATCCCACCTCTTCTCCACCCGGACACGTTCCTCTGGTGGCTCAGACTCATCCCAGACCGAGCTGAGGGCTGAACAGCACAGATCAGGACCTCCACATAAGAACCTCCTGCTGCTGGAGGTAAATAAGAACCTCTGGAGACATTCGGAGATTTCACAATGGGAACCGAGTTTTTCCACCGAACAGATCCGAGGATTGTTTTTTTTCCTGCGTCTGGGATGAAACTGATGTAAAGTAAGTTAAAGGAAATTAAATCTGTGCTGATAAAAAAAAACAAACAAAAAAAAAACGATTTATAGATATAGAAATATGCTGCGGTGTGTTTTATAAACCTGTTATATTTATTATATGATTTATAATCGTGTTTTTGACGCACCGGAGGCCTTTTTACGCAACTTTCTTTTCGGCCTTGAAAGCGAGTTACAAAAGAAAAGGCTTCTCCCACAGTCTAGTGTTTTCTCTGATATTTATGGACACCGTTGCTAAATGTTTTAAACTCCTTAAATTAAATATTAATCGTTGGTAGCTGATAAACATCGCTGGCTATTTTAACATTTTACGCATTGAGGCTTTGGACTCGGAGGATCGACGATAACGGAATTTTCCTGACGGTCAAGGCCCAGCCGGGACTTTATTTAGAGCGAGCCGGTAACGTTTGGAGGCGCGCAGCACCGCGGGGGTTCGGGCTGCTCCTCCAGAGTTCAACAGCAGCTCTTAACCCCGGTGCCGCCTGGGTCACCATGTGTCCTGCCGGCTCCCCGCGTCTGCTTTGAAGTGGCGGCAGATCGCACTCCTCCAGCCCCGAGCTGCCCCAACAACCGAAAAAAAAAAAAGCTTTATGCTCTAGAATTAAAATGACAAGAAATTAAACAACATAAGGCCAGTTATCCGGTCCACGTCCAAACCAGCGCTGCGTAAAGACGCACAACACAAACCAAAAAAACTCAACCTTGAGAATGTAGATGTGCTCAGACCACCTCTTTAACCTGATTGTGGCCCAACTGGTGACCTTCAGAAGAAACGGGAGGTTCGACTCTGAGATTTATGATCCTCAATTGGAGCCCTCCTGCTCTGAAAATCTAATTATTTCCCTAAAACCAGAACAGGCTCCCTGAGAAACCATAAAAGCAGACAGGCGGTGCGACTGGAGCAGGTAGCTGCTGGAGCACAAACCGTCCTGCTGCTCATGTTTATGTGACTTCATTTGGCTGAAAAACCCAGAATACCTGAAGAAAGGAGACGTTGTTCTTAACGGAACAAATACAACCTCCTGAAACCAGGAGATAGATATAGAAAACTAATGGATTGTTTTCTTTGTTTTGTTGAATCTATCTATCTATCTATCTATCTATCACTTGTCTATAATCTATCTATCACTTATCTATCATCTATCCTCTATCTGTGACTCGGCCTGTGAAGCTCTGACGTTTCCACACCCTCCTCCTAACACCTTTAGATCTTCCCGTCATGGAGCTGTCTGCTTCTCTGCCTCCCCCCTCTCCCTTCACCTCCCCCCTCATCCCTAACTCCTCGGCTCCCTCCTCCTCCTCCCCCTCCATGTCTCCGTCCCCCAGCCTGGCCTCCACGGCTCTGTTCTGCTCCCTCCTGTCCCTGCTCTCCCTGCTGGGCATCTTGGGGAACCTCTACACTCTGGGCCTCCTCCTGAGGCGCCGGCGCGGCAGGAGGAGACGGGGAGCGTTCCCGACCTGCTGCCTGACCCGACTCCCCGTCCCGTCCTGCCTCGCCGGCTCCGCCTCCCCATCCTCCTCCCCCACCTCCTCCTCCTCCTCCTCCTCCTCCTCCCTCCACCTCCAGGTGCTGAGCCTGGCCCTGGCCGACCTGCTCTACCTGTTCACGGCTCCCTTCATCGTCTACGACAGCCTGGCGTCCGGCTGGGCCTTCGGGGAGCTGGGCTGCCGCCTGCTGCTGAGCCTGGACCTGCTCACCATGCACGCCTCCATCTTCACCCTGACCGCCATGAGCTTGGACCGGTACCGGGCCGTGGCCCACCCGCTGCACACGTCGTCGTCCAGCTCGTCAGGGCTGCTGCGGGTGGGGCTGGCCTGGGGGCTGGCGGTGGCGCTCAGCCTGCCCATGATGATCACGCTGCACCTGGAGGACGGCGAGGACCAGGAGGGCCAGCTGTGCGTCCCGGCCTGGGACGAGCAGAGCTCCAAGGCCTACCTGAGCGTCCTGTTCTGCACCAGCATCCTCGGGCCCGGCCTGGCCATCGGGGCTCTGTACGCCACCCTGGGCCGGCTGTACTGGGTGTCGCAGACCCGGCCGGCCTGGGCCACCAGCGGCAGCACCGCCTGTCCTCCCCGAGCTCCCAAACCCAAAGTCCTGCTGCTCATCCTGGGCATCGTTCTGGCCTTCTGGGCCTGCTTCCTGCCCTTCTGGATCTGGCAGCTGCTGCCCCTGTACCAGCCCGACATGCTGCAGACGGTACCGGTGGGCACACAGGTGACGGTGAACCGGATCCTCACCGGGCTGACTTACGGGAACTCCTGCGTGAACCCGTTCTTCTACACACTGCTGACCGGAAAACGGAAACGCAACCGGCCGGCGCTGACGTCAGCCAACCAGCTGAGCAGGAAGAGCAGCCCGCTGCAGTAGTCGGTTCTGACGGGCTGTTGGACCATTTATATGAAAGCTTTATGAGCTCCAGAACCGGCACCAAAGAGCTCTGACTCAGTCTGAAGAGACAGAAGTAGAGATGACAGCACTTTGTACCGACGCTTCTTAATTAAGGACAAACTCTCAGTGAGGAGATGAACCGTTAGAGATCCACCAGCACAGAGAGCATCTGGGTGAAGAACCTGGTGATGCAGCTCGGCCCAGACTAGAGCTCAGAGGTTTGGACAGGTTTGATTTTTCTGACAGACGCTGCGAAAAGTTTGAAACTGAAGCTTCAGTTCAGAGTTTAATGAGAAGAGCTGCAGAACCAGGAGACGGTTTGAGCTCTGAGGGAAGTCGACCAGCTGTCTCCGGTGAATAAACGGATTTATGTGGCTGAACCGTGTTGGACACATGCATCAGTGTGCAGCAGAAACAGCCTGAAAGTCTCAAACTTTCTGCTCACAATCAGTAAACGAGTCATTCAGCAGCAGCGTCTGGTTCGTCCTGAGCTGGAACGGTAGCTCTGGTGATCCAGCATTTCACACAAACAGAGTCTACGTGACGATAATCTGGATTTAAAAGGTTTAAATTATTGATAGCAGCTCTGATAACAACACATCAGACGGAGTTTCCTTCTGTTGTTGCTCATTGAATCCTTAATTCTACTGTGTTGATCATAATTTAGAAAAAAAGATTCTTTCATGTCAAAGTGAAAAGAAAATTATGCAAATAAATAAATGAAATATCAGAATCAGAAGCTTCTTATTGCCCAGAGACACACACACACACAACACACAGACACACCACACACACACACACACAATGCTGATTTGGATTTAAAATGTTTTAATTAACTACTAACTGGCATCGATGACAGACCTCATAAAACAGAGTTTTCCTGTTCTGTTGCTTCCTGACATTGAATCATGATTTAATTTTATTGTGTTGATCATAATTTACAGAAAGATTCTTTCATGTCAAAGTGAAAAGAAAATTCTACAAAGTTCTGTTAAATAAATGGAAACATAACATTTAAATGAAGTGCTTATTCAGTCTTTTAAACACCAGAAATCAGGTTCACTTTGACCTGAAAGAGTCTTTTTGTAAGTTATTGTTCATTATTGTAGAGTTAATAAAATGGTTTATCATCATGCAGCAGCAGCATCTCCTCCAGAGCTGTGATTGTTTTAAACTGTGATTTAAAACCTATGAACGGTTCAGCTTTAATCCAAACATTGACGATAAAACCGAGTTTAAGTGACGCTGATTTGGTTTTAAAATGTTGAAGTTATTCTGTCTGTGGACTGGAGTACAGGATGTTATATGATGATCTCTATATGAGGCAGACCAGTCATGTGACCAGAGAACAACTGCTTCGTGGAGCGACCAGAACATCTGAGGACCTTCTGCCGCTCAGCCTGATGCTCTGCTGCTCGCTTCCACAGAACTCTCAGAGAACGTGTTTGTTTTCGGTCTGGTCTGGAGGAGACCTCGCAGGACTCCCGTCTGTTTGTTGACCCGCCGGCTTTTTGTCTTGGTCCTCTGAACTCTGACACTCTGACAGGAGCGCTGCTGCTCTTTAGCATCTGAAAACGTGCTGCTGGTGACGAGTGGTGCAGCTCAACGTGGCCTCCTGCTGTTTGTAGGGTTGTGTGATGCACAATAAAGAGAAGTGAGACGACGTCTACGTTTGGTTTTTATTTCATTCAAACACGACACAGACGCTCCTGAAAGAAGAATCATCTGATGCCTCCTTTAGCCACAGAAACAAACTGAAATTACAAAAAGCATCGACAACAACACGACAAACGTTCACAACAGAACAACAACAATAACAGGAAGCAGCTCACGTTTAAACACAACATGTGACCTGATTGTTTCCGGTCTTTACATTAATGAACACATTGAACAGCATTCTGGTTGAACTGGTCTTCTAATGTAAACACTGATCCTTTGGTTTTTTGCTCAGATGCTTCCACAGAAACACAACGCTCCGTCACTCTGCTCTGGATCTGGGTTTTCTTTAAACAGCTCAGGTCCTTTTAAATCACACTCAGGTTCTCTTTTTCCAAATCCTCTCGTCTCTCACGCTGACGACAGATGTGGAGGAACGGAGGAAAGTCAAAAGTGGTGAAAGCTGCTGGTGTTTGTGTGTCTTTGCCGGCGTGGGGAAGGTGTCGGTGCCGCCTGTCCGGCTCAGTCCGGCTCAGATGCCGCCTGTCTGGCTCAGTCTGGCTTCAGAGGCCGCCTCTCTGGCTCAGTCCGGCTCAGAGGCCGCCTCTCCGGCTCAGTCCGGCTCAGTCCGGCTCAGAGGCCGCCTCTCCGGCTCAGTCCGGCTCAGAGGCCGCCTGTCCGGCTTCAGACCTGCTGCTGACGAGCACACGAGCAAATATTGTTGTTCGACGGAGAACAGACACGAGCTGAAGGAGAAGCGACTCTGCTCAGTCAGAAACAGAAAGTCAGCAGTTTGTGGATTCACTTTGAGGTTTAAGAGACTTAATCTGTGTCTGTGGTCTCCTCTGATGTCTGCACTGTGAAAAAAAAGAAAATCTGGCAGCAAGAGGTCCAGAAGACAAATAGTTTAACGTGAAATGTTAGAAAAATGTTTTAAAAAGCAGCAAATACCAGTAAAATCAGATATTTGTCAGCTGATCTAAGCTCATTGAAATGTGTGTTTTTATGGTTTCACATTAAAGGAGAATCAATTATTAGTAAAAACAAATATTTAAGAAAAAAAAAGGCACAAAATTCTAAAGTTGTTCAGTTTCCTGTAACGATTCATCGATTCCTCGTCAATAATTAAATCAGTCACCAACTATGAAATTAAATGAATGAAGAATACTTTATTTATCCAGAAGGGAAATTCAATAATTATTTTTATATTATTTTTATAATTATTAGGAGTCATTCTAAATAAAAACTGCCTGCATTGTGTGATTGCAGCTTTCAGGAACATTTTCTGGCTTCTTCCTCCTTTTATTGCGCTTCAGCGTTGAATCTTGGTTTAATTTGGCTTTTTGACGATAACGTAGAGAAACGACTCGTTCACGTCAAAGTGAAACAGATTTCCTCAAAGTGACGCTAATTTATTCAAACTATAAATCACTGAGTCTGTTTCACCTCCACGTTCAAGAATCTCGTTTGTAGATTATTGTCATAAAACATTATTATTACGTTATTGATTATTTTTACCTCTAATCAGTTCCAGATTCTGATCATCGGTCTCCTCCTTCTCAGCGGATCGGTACCGGCTCTGACAAACCAAACCAGTGAGTCACTAAAAGCTGCTGCAGGTCGAATATTTTATTTTGAAATTCAGTTTCAGCTTTTCACAGTTTTCACCTCTTAATAAAAAAAACAATCAGAATAAGTTTGGTTTGTGAGAAACTCAGACTAAATGAATGGAAAACAAGAAAAGAAGGAAAAGTTCGTGCTCTGATTCACAAACCAGCTGAACAACTGTTCTGCTTTCATCCAGTCACGGTTCTGGATGAACAGTTAAGAATTAATTCAGTCTGTCGTCACTCTGACATGAAGGAAGCTTTTTACTGTTCAGTCTAACAGCAGAGATAAAAGTCAGGAACTGGATTTCTACAAAAACCTGAAACAGAATCTGGAGCTGCTGCTGTTCTAAAGTTTGACTCCTGAGACAAAACAAGTCACATAATTCAGATTACATGAAGAGAAAACTAGAACACAGAAACACACATCGAGCATCGCTTTAGATTAACGACACACTCAACATATCAAACAGCAGTTTGCATTTTTTAGTTTCTTTGTCCACTGAAATCCTGCAGAAGCACGACGAACATCAGTCGTGTCAGTTAATTAAACATAAGATAATTAAAAATAAATGTCTGGCAGATGCTCTGACTCACCACGTTCAACACTTTGACATTAAAGAGTCTTTTTTGGTCAATTATTGACAAACAATAAAAATAATTTCACTCTAAATATATATTCTAGAAATACGGATGCGTTTTAAAAAGGTCTTCGGTTGGATGTTGAGTTAAAGTCTGACGCCAGAGAACAAAATCAAGACTCAATAAAAGACAAGCTTCAGGTGACATCAGCACCACGTGATGCTCTGCTTTCACTTCCAGGTCTGGGATAAATGCAGTACTTCTGTTCTCTAATGAAGCCCGTCCAGGAGCTGCTGGTTCTGACTCAGTGTTCAGTGACTTGGTTTTGCTCCTCAGCTGACGAAGTGTTTGATGACTTCATGATTAGATGTTCGTATTTGGTTGCAGTAAACTCAGCGGAGGACCAGCTCCTGGTCGCCTCCTGGTCGCCCCCAGCAGCCTGAGGACCCCGCCAGCGCTGCTCTGTGCAGCCGTCCTCGGGCCGCCGTCCTCGGGCCGCCGTCCTCGGGCCGCCATGTGTTTCCAGTTACCTGCCGCCAGCAGCAGCAGCAGCTCCCTCTGCTCTGATTACCCAGAGTCCTGTGCAGCGGCTCCACGGGAGGCGCTGCTGTTGTGAGCTTAATGCAATATCCATCCAGCAGACAAAGAGCCGACTGGAACCGTCCGAGACTCGCTGACTTTCATACCACAATGACAGGAGACGGAGATGAAACGGACCCAGAACAGACCCGGGGTTCTGGTGTCTCCTCCCTCCGTGTATCAGATGATGAAGTCGGGCCTCGGGGCTGCAGGGATGACTGACTGTTTGATAAACTTCAAATACAGCCAACCGCACGCACGGAAACTTCTGTGTGAGTTGGCGGCCGGCCGGCCCATAAAGCCGGTGCTGTTTGTGTTGGTGGTGGGCTCCAGTCAGAACCTTCAGCTCTTCGTCCTGAGCTCGTCTTCCTCTGCAGGAGCAGCACCAGGACCCCACGGCCCCGCTCTACCTGAGCCTTCATAAATCCTGCACATGTCAGTTTCCTGGAACCGCAGAGCATCTTTCCAGCCGGCGCTGGTTCTGCTGCAGGTGCCCCTCCCCTGGGCAGGAAGGCGCCCCGCTGGGCCGACCAGACGAGGCCAGAGCCGGGCCAA